CCAATGGCTGGTACTCTTCCTGGGATTTTCATATTCTGTGTTGAACATGTTTTACTGCTACTATTATTGTAATAGCAGTTGCAAAAACAATGATCATAACCAAGATTACGGTCACTCAAGAGAATCTACCTGGTATTTCCTTCTTTTACAGGCAATGGCTCATGACATTCTTCCCTTTGTTTTTCAAATAGCAAGGCTGAGCCAGAAAGATTAAATGACTGGCTTAAGGCTACAGAACTAGTGGGAGAGGCACAATTAGAACCAAGGTCAAGCAGTCCAGAAGCTTTTCCACTACCACCCTGCTTTACTGTTTAAGGCTGACCTTTTACTCCTCTCCTAGGCCCGGAACAGGAAACAACTAATGTTCTTGCTAGCCAAACATGTTTCCAAGTCCAGAGCAACTCTGGAAGACACCCAAGGCCCCGGCCCCCAAACCCTCTCCTCTCCTGATAGCAAGGCCCACAGCTATGCACAACTGAGAATGCCTTGGCCTCCTGCCCCACCCCACTCCCCACCCCCCACCCCCCCACTCTGGGTTCAACCACTCTTTAGTCATGAGTAAGTCAGACGGCAGACTTGCACTACAGCCAACTCCCTCAGTGGCAGTTGCTATCTCCGCACAGCTCTGGGCTGCACCAGCTGAGGCCTGGTGTCCCTCCAGGAATAAAAGGTGAGTCACCAAAAGACATCTGAAAGGTGAGTAACTCAGGTTAGGTAATGGGGCCTGTGCCCAAGCCCAAGTTCACTGTTACTAAAGCTGCCGGGTGTAGTAGGAAAATCAGCACCAAGGCATGTGCTTTAGGAGGTGATGACCCCATACAGCGAAATTCAACAACAGCTGCTTCGGCACCCTCACCACCAGACTACCATAATTCTCTTTGCCTGGGAACACTGTCTTTCGTTTACTCAAAAGCGGGGCCAAGCCCATTTTTGTATAGCCCCAGAACTAAGGCTTTTATATTTTTAAAAGTTACAAGCCCAAACAAACAGAACATATGAAAAAAAAATGATGGCCATATGGCCCGCAAGCCTGAGTTCTATCTGGTCTCTCACTCTAAAGCAAGCTCTTGGGCAAATAATCTTCCAGTCCAAACATTAATCATCCTCCATTTTTCCTATCACCAGACACTTCCAGGAGACAAGTAGTGAAGTCAGTGTAGACAGTTGCTTAGTGACCTTTCGGAGTATCACTAATACACCACCCTCTAAGGTGCATCTAAGAATGCTACTTGAATTTCACCTTATAACTAAATGTAATATCCTAAACACACTTTGTAAGGCCAAGGCTGATTTTTAACGTTGGAATTTAAACCATATGGACTTTCCTATAATCCTTACTATCTATTCTGACCCTGAACACTGTAGCTCTCAGCTATGTTCTTAGAGCAAATCAGAAGCTAGAGAAACCCCAGAACAACTTAAGTATGTATTCCATAATACCAATCAGAAGGTCACTTACTGCTCCGTATCACCAAAAGGGTGATAAGCCAGAAATAAGCAAAAACCCTTGGCATGGACACAGCCTCCCTCTTTAGGTCATATACCAATCACCACCACACCTGATGCTCTGTAAGTCAAATACATGACTTTTATCCTACATTTTAAAAGGGCAATTTATGACAAGTCAATATTAAGTCAAGCCAGAAAAAGAACCAGGCCTTTGGGAGTGGGAAAAATTACATTTAGAATCTAGATTTAGTGGTGGAGAATGTGTAAAGGTGATTATGTATGACAGTGAACTCAAGTTTTTCCTTAAGTTATTTGTTAAATAAAAAAAGAACCAGGCCGCCTTCTTAAAAAAAAAAAAAGACAGTAATAAATGTCTCTGATCCCCAAAAGCTCTCTGAAGTAGAAGTACTCCCTCCCTCCTTCCCTGTCCTCCCCATATTCTTGCCCACCTGAGGCGTCGGCGAGGGTCAGATGGTGTTCCGGTCCGACGGGCAGTGCCATAGTCAGACATCATGCCATAATCCAGGTCATCATAACCCATGCTGCGCTGGTCATCCTCGAGCCCATAAGGTTCTGGGTGAAAGCGATGCAGATCCACACTGCTCCCACCCACCCGAACCTGGGGCTGGGGTCCGTAGACATCCTGCCTACTAGGTGCCCGGTAGCCCTCCATGCTGGGCCTATACCGCTCATCAATGCGGGTCACCCGAGACAGGCTACCGTAGTTGTCACTCCCGCCTGGATAGCCATCTTCATAGTGGCGGCCATATCCATCGGGAGGATAGTGGAAGTTCCTGGGCAGGGTGGCAGTGCCTGCCTGCCCCATGTAGGGACCAGGCCCCCCATTGCCATTCTTGCGGAAGTCACGACCCAGAGTCTGGATGTAGTTGTTTGAAACTGAGGAGGCATCCACAGGCAGCCCGTCTGGTCCCACAGGGACTGGCTGTACTGTTCGAGTTGTCACAGTCTTCACTACTTTCTTGACCTTCAAATAAAAAACAAGACAAAGAAAACACAATGAAGCAAGTGCGTGATCTGACCTAAAATTCTAAGAATCCTACCCTTACCTCCAGCTCTCTTTCCCTGTCGGTGCCTGGAATGTGGGACCTACTTTTCTTTCCAACTTATAAGAGGTTTCCAAACAAAGTCCCATAAGAAAGCTATTGTAAACCTTGAAGTACCTTCTCTCTCTCTCACTCCTTCAGTTTTCCCCATGTCTCTTCTCTTCTGGATCTCTGGGAGATCATTTACTTAGGGCAGTGGCCTGCATCTGCCCTAATTAAGCGCTGCACTCCTCCTCTAATAGCGAGAGTGGGGGCCCTCTAAGGCCCGCCCAGACTTTGCTCATCTTCGCTTACTGTGGTCTCTGTGCGGCGAGTGGTCCCATCATCAGAGGTCTCCACAGAGACAACAGACATGGCTCCCTCGGGGTCCTCCTCTGTGTAAGTCTCCACTATCTGCCCAGGCTCCTGCATTCTGGGGATGGTACTGTACAGAAGGTGACTGTGGTCCTATGGGGAAAAAAAAACAAAAGGTTACCATTAGAAGCACTATATAAGGGGTCTTTAAAAAGTTCGTGGAAAAAGTACAATAGAAAGATAATGGAATCTTCCCAAACCCCACCTTTTTGAAGCCCCTCGTATATTAACAATGCATTTCGATGAGAAGCATGTCTGGGGACAGGGATTCCTCAGGCACCCCTCTATAGTTCCCAGGTAGCTCTCCCCATCTTTTGAACTTTACTGGAGGGCAGCAAAATAATTTCCCAATTCTGGTCATTAACAAACACGAACTGAATTAACCATAGCTACATCAACATCCAAGTAACAGAGACAGCAGATTTAACTTCCCCATTCTAAAGGAAGATGAACTGTGTTAACTGAACCCGCAGCTCCATCTGAATGACCCTTCAAATGAGTTATCTACTCAATAAAAGAACTTTAAAAACAAACCAGGAAACCTCAATAAAAACGACTAACTTTGTTACTCTTCAGACACCACCTAAGGCTTGAGACCAGGCAGGCTTTCGGTAGGCTCCTTTGCAAAATAGAAGACAAATCCTGACTAGACCAGGCGGGAATGCAGGAAATGAGGACTCAAATAGGAGAGGGATACTGGGTGATGAGAGGAGCCCTGGAGGCGTAGAGGGTTAAGCACAGAGGTTAGCATTTTAAACCACCAGCTGCTCAGAGGGGGGAGGTGAGGCTTTCTACTCCCCATAAAGAAACCCACCAGGGCAGTTCTACCCTGTCCCACAGGATTGATTCAATGACAGCGAGTTTGGTGTATGGCTCCAAGTGGGCGATTACGATCAAGTCACTAGGGATCATTCCCCAACAGAGCTACACATATACTCTGGAGAGATCCGATTTATTTTCCTAATAGAAAGAAACTCATGTTAATGGGTCATCCCGATGTGCCGTACACTTTTATAAGACACTAATGTATCTCATTGGCTTAGGAAGTTTTAAAAAAAGGAAGAAGAATGAAGTAACCCAAACCTTGTGCCAAAACAATTACCTGTGGTCCGTTGAGTTTCAGATCTGAAAATTTCTGTCTCTCAAGGTCAGCATCGCCCACAAACCGGCCGTTCTGAAACATAGCCCATAAGAAGACAATTCATTTTGTGGCCTTCTTTTGCTTTATCAAACATAAATGATCTTTTTTTTTCCAAACAGGAAAAGGGCTTTCAAGAAGATATGTGTGGCCTGGAGTCCTTGGGTCAGTACTCATAAAAGAACCACATCACTCCTTAGTCTTAGTACTTGCATCAAAATTGGAATCAGGCTGACTGGGTCTCTGGAACATAAGAACGTAAGCTCCATTGAGGGCGGGCAGAGGGTCTTGCGGGGGGCGGGGTGTCCACTTGTTCACTGATATATCCCGGGTGCTTCTGAACAATGCCAGGCACTCAAAACCACTTGATGAGTAAATGTCAGAGATTCAGATAAGTTTCCCAACATCTTTTTGAAAAGCAGTAAAATATATGGAAAGTTGGAAGGGTTAGGTTGGGGTTTTCCAAAAGCCGCCTTTATGCTACTTCATGCATCTTCATGCTCTATTACCACTGGAAACCCCCATTACAGGAAGCTTTTTAAAGAAAAGAGATATGAGTCTCCCAGTCCAAGTATTTAGATGACAGCGAGTGCCTGAAGTTCCTCCCAAGGAAGCAGATCCTTCAACATAATCTTCATCAATTGTAAGTGACACAGGCACACTCTAAAATATTTTTTCCGTTTTTCTGTTTTAAGCAAGATATAATCTAACGACATCATATCATGTAAAATGACATATGTCTGCTTCTTTCTCCAATAGAATGGAGTGAGATCCAGCAGTCACCTTGGGAGACTCTCCACCCACCCCTATTACATAGGGAATGTTATGCTACAGGGAGAGGAAATTAAACATTACTTTCAGGAAGAAGGAAGGGTGTGGTATCAGTAACATTGCTGAGAAGTTAAAAATAAAGAGCAAGTGAAAGACAGAGACCAGGCACTAAATCCTGAGTTCCCAACCCCCTTTCTCAGCTTGCACCTCTCATCCCTAAACCCTCTACTCTAATTCATACAAATATCCCAGTAACATTGTATACATCAGCCCTCTTCAAATGCCTGACCATCGGAAATCTTTCCTCTTACAATTACGAGGCTCTTCTCTTCTACTTTAAAATATAAGGAATTAAGTAATCAATGAAAAGGACTACTTGGGGCATAAGCACTGTTCTGGATCCCATACAGAGATCTCTTAAAAATGCCGTCTACCAGGCAATGTCTACTACACATGCGCACATGCATACACACACACAGACAAAGGCAAAGATAGACAAAACCTCAGACAGATTACATCACAATGAAGCTGGACTAGAGACATAGGAAACACATGATACTTCTTGTTTCTATTTCTTTTTTTTATACTTCTCATTTCTACCACCAATTTTCCCAAGTCACATCCCAGAGTCAACTAACCTCAGAGACCACTGGCTCCTGTGGTTATCTGGGTGAAACAGCAGCATGATAGTCTCTCTCCAAATCTAGCCGGCAGAATTCACAGTGACCCTTCCTCTTAGACAAGGTTTACCCAGCCGACAAAACAGAGCACACTAGGGCAATATGGAAGAATGTGCCACCTATGGACAGTGCCACACTTCTGAGCACAAACTGTCCCCTGAGGGAGAGTGAACGGGGACGCCTTGCTTCTTGAACCAGAAAGCAGGCCTTTATTCTCCTGAATTTTTAATACCAAGAAAAATCAAAGAAAACAGAAATAACTTGAGCTCCAAACAACATAATCTACCATTACTAGAATCGCGTCTCAATACAGAAATCCTACTCTAGCAAAACAGGACTTTAGATGGAAACATCTAAAGGGAAGTCCACCCAATTCCGCACAGAGTAATATTCCCTATCTCTTGGTATTTATTACCCACCACAAAACCCAAACCAAATGCAGTGCCAATGAGTCAATTATGACTCAGAGTGACCATACGGTCTCTGAGCCCGTAAATCTTTATGAGTGCAAACAGGCTTGTCTTTCTCCTGAGGAGCGGCTGGTGGGTTTGAACTGCTAGTGAAGTCAGCAGTGTCTTCAGGACTCCTTTTTGACTCCCGAAGAAGGTTCAAACCCTCTTGGGGCATTTCTACCCTGCCTATACGGTTGCTGTGAGTCAGCCTCAACTCGATGGCAGATTTCGCTTTTAGGAAGGGTCATCATGAAGCATGACCACTGGATAGCTACCAAGAGTAGCCTCCCATGAAGGACCTCTGTGACCCTGCCAAAGTCCTACCTGCAGGTCTGACGGAAAGAGGGGTTACCTGATGCCGGCGGGTGAGGGTGCCGTTGGCCATGAGTGGGTTGGCATCTTGTGGTGAGACCCGGACGCGTTCCAGTTGCGCCGAGACGTGGCGCCGTTCCTCCTCCAGCGCCCGGGTCAGCTTCTCAAACTGAGCCTCTTGTTCCTTCACAGAGGCCAAGATGCTGGCGGTCGACTCCACCTCTGAGTCATCCATGATGGTAAGGGGCAGAGCCGCAGCAAGGCAGGGTAAAAGGGAAGGTGGATCACAGAGGGAGGAGGAATGAGGGAGACAGCCCCCCTCACTTCACACTAATGGGAGAGGGTAAGAAAGAGGAGAGAAAAGGTCACAGGTCAGAGAAGACAGATGAATTATTAATCCCAGAGCCAAAGATGCCCTCTCACGGTTCTACTGCAGTGCAGAGAGCAAACCACCACCAAGCCTGCGAGCCCATCACCAGTGTCTGCTTAAGCAGGATCTTTTCCCCATTACCCTCCTCAATATCCCACCAGAAATATATATAATTATGGGAAAGCATAACTAGAGCCGAGTACCTACACTGTTGGGGATGAGGGGGTGTGTGGCTATGGGTTATAGTCATGACAGGAGATTAGCACTAGACTCTCTCCCTGGGAAATTTTGCTGGCACCAACTGCAATGAAAATTACAAGTCCATGTTGTAGACAAGCACTCACTGCCCTGCAGTGGCAAGCTATTTCTAGAGATAAGGAAGCAGGGCAGGGCTGGCCTGCCTTCTCCCAAATCTGAATAATGGTGGTAAAATACACTAAATTCGTATGCCAGCTTAAAAGGCTAATAAATGGAATTGTAAAATCATTCCACCAATAAATATGAAGACAAAATTAAGACTACATTTCAATCTCAAAGTTCCAATTATTTAACATAATACATGTAAGATGGGTCTTTTCTACCTTTCAAAAACCATGCAACAATACTGGAAACAGATCAGATGCTTTGACGGTAACAATAAGACAAGAAAAGACGCCCTGCTTTCTGGGCCCTTCATCTCTGGGTAGTAGGAAGAGGAGCCTTAGGCTCAAACTCTGAAATTGTCCCCCAAAGTATTTCACAGGAACATCAAATCTTTTTCAGACCATCTTTTGCCCTGGTGGCACTATGGGTTAAGCTTTGGCTGTTTAATCACAAGGCCAGTGGTTCAAACCCACCAACTGTCTCCAAGGAGGAGGATAAGGCTATCTCTATTCCCTTGAAGTCTTGTGTCTCCTAATCCTATTCAGTACAATAGAGCTGCTTGTTCTAAGGCAAGGTAAACAGTCAAGTATCTGAAGTATTCACGTATGCTACTTCCATAATAAATGACGGTTACACAGAAATAAAGCATTCAATACGTTAACATATAAGCAGCAAGTTGGCTAATAAATGAAGGGGTATTCATATTGTTAGCCTTCATTGGGTTTCTCTCTTGTAGCCATGAGAGACTATGGGCAGTTCTAAATAAACTGTGTTGACAGGCAGATTCTGGGATAAACCCTCTCCTATTCACCACACCCTCCCATCAATCACTACAGAAAAAAGGCACTTAATATAGATTTTGTAATTCTCAATAAACATATTTCCATACACACCTGTTAAGAGATGGTCGCAATTGATTGGCTTAACAGAGACCAGCCCAGTCTAGATTCAAAGAGTCATAGGAGAAGCATCCCAGTCACCACAGCAAGGAGGAAGGAGAGAGCTGCAGAAATATTTGGAGGAAAAATGAGAATGAGAGGAAAATAAAATACACCCAATGCATAAAAATGAAAGGAGCAAGGGGAGGAATGGAGAGGAAGCCATTCTGAGACTGAAAGGGAGTGATTTAAAATACAACTTGGAGTTGCTTAATGTGACAAATGTCCTTTGGACTTTGCGGTTTCAACTACCTAGGACTTGAATACAATGTTCACAAAAGTCCAATTCTTCCATCCTGTCAGAATTCCTCCAGCACCAGGATGAAAACCTACTCACTCCTGGTGTCCAGCAACCAAATGGTGGAGTGGGGGTGGGGAACTTGCTGTTGGAATGCCCTTCCCCCTCCTACCCACCCCTAAGGCAGAAACCTCAGA